TATGAGCTAAGTAGAGTCAGAACTCATTTATCCTTCTGATAAATGAGGTTGCATTTGGAGGGTGGATGGGATTTGGAGTTAGGGTGGGTCACTATCGTAGCCACCTCCACGTGGTGTGACCTGGTAATTGGTATAGTTCTCTGAAGGCTTTAAAAAATCTTCAGAGAACTATACCGAGCTAAGAGCTACGATTAGAATTTACAATTTAAGAGCTACGATTGTAATTTTACTTATAATATATGTATATATAGTTGTATAGTTTTATACAGTCATATATATAACTAACCTAACCCAGCCTAATGTAATCTAACCCAACCTGTACATTCATAGTTTACAGTGCAATTATAAGAATTTTTGAAAAATTATGTAGGATCATTAAGGTGCCCTCATCAGTCACCACTGCGTGTACCGGCTAAGTACGGCATTGGCAGCAAGCTGTGACGTCAGCTGACGCATGCGCATAAAGCTCTCGCGTGAGATAAAATCTCACGACTGCCCAACACTGCTCCTGGTAGAAGGAGGTTGTATGAACGAGGAGGTTAAACTACGATAATTGAAATAAAGGAAAATTCAGAACACATATAACAATAATGTATTTAATTTTTATTTAGTTTGCACCATATAACAGTTCACAAATCTTTACAAATTCTCTAGAATTCCATTAGTTATTTACACGCTACTAATTTTACCTGAAAGTACTATCCTGTAGTAACTTTACTTTTCCAAATATTTTACTTAATAGCAATTAATTTTTTTGTTAATTTCTATATATAATTATTACCAAGCACTTAACATTCCTAATTCCTTTATATTCGACCTAAAAAGTTCCAATCCTAAAATTCTTGATTACAAAACAACTGTATAAATAATTATAACAATAATTTTGATAAGGGAGCCGCAGCTTCTAAATCATGCTACAAAAAGATACAGTTAAAACGAGTTCCGTAAAAATATACTTTTCTAATGAAATTTTTGTACACTACATGTTTGCTAAAGGCACACAACAGCCGAAATATATTTATAAAGGCAATAAAAAAGTGCAATAGCACCTATGCTTCAGAATCCTGCATTTAACAGGCACGTGTGTATATTTAATTCTATTAACAGTCAAAATAGATAATATTAATAAACGTTATAATAATTCTTTTCTCTTTTTTTTATAATATAAATGTTTAACAGTCACTGTATATAAGATAGCACGCTTCTGCTTGCAATATTTCTGGATAACTTTGCTTGTATTTCTTAAATGTGCTAATATTATTGAGCATGGAAGTACGATTAAAAATATACTACATTAGGTTATCGTTGTAAGTACTTGAATTTTAGTGTCGAGTGATAAATTGCATGAGATATAAGTAATAAGTTAAAAGGAATTCTTTTTCCCTGCTGTTATACATTTTAAGTACGATAGGTTTTCGATGTCAACTTTCATGTGTTCAGAAAACATAAAAGTATTAAAATTGTCCTATTTAAAACATAATAAATTTGATCACAAATTTGATGATACTATATGCTCATGAGTACGCGATTAAAACCTATATTCATAATCGTTCCATAGGATAAGTACACTTTTACGATAAGGAGTTTGAACTGACCACAGTTCTTTAAATATTACACATAAATTGTAAGTACGTATTCAAACTAATAGTATGTTCCACAATATGTACATATATACAAATAACAGTATATTAATCCTGAATAAATTTTGTGCTATTGTACAAAATTTTCTTACAACTACTTATTCGATTCGTTGTAAGACGCTCTACCTGCTAATTCAAGCAAATAACGATCGGGGTGATCTATCCAATCACTGGCACTCAACTTCACGATTCTCTGTTTTTCTGCTTCCTTCACTTGCCATTTCTTAATTTCCAATTGACGTTCCCTAAAAATTTGTTTGCGTTATTTTATGATTGCGATTTATCCGAGGCAAATAACAAGTGGGCTGAAATTGTTACCTCAACTTTGTGTCTCCACAGCCCCAAACTTCTAAGCTGGCAATCGGATAAGGTGCACCTGCAATACTGACCGAATGGAATGCTTCGTCTATACTAATGTACGGTGAGCGTGGGTTACTTCCGAATCGCAATCCATGAGGATAGCCTCTGATACCGGTGTTCAAATATAATACTTTGGCGCCCCTCTCTATAACTCTGTATGATGGAAATAATTCAATACCCATTGAATCTTCGTCTCCCCAATAAAGATGACTCTCGCGCCATTCTATCGCCGAACATATACAATATGTAGGGGATATACTATCTTTATCTGGACTAACTGTTCTTATAAACAACAAAGTAGGGCCTCGGTATCCTAACACATGATGAAGAAATCGATTAGCTCCTGTTCCATGTTCAGAACTATTGTATAACAATGTCCAATGTCTAGGACATACAGTTCCCATTCTTTTAGCTATTAAAGCATGAGTAACATCCTTTGGTGAATCATCTAACTGAACATTTATTTGTTTCATTATTTTATAGACATAGTAAACTAAAAAATAATTTAGCCTTTAATTAAAATTTACCTGAAGATAGCACTGAGGTAATGTGCTTGATAATAACCATACATAGCTCATGGGTAATAAAACCCTTGGAAAGTCAATGGAGTCTGGTTGTTCTAATATTGGTGTAGGTATGCCCAAAAGAGGTTGTGGCTGTTCTTTGGACAACAAAACTTTACCATTTCGGTAAGCAGTTGTCAACACATGTATTATGTATCTGTGAGGACCATGTATTATATGTGTACAATTCTGCCAAATCCAGTTGCTCACATAACTCACGGATAAAGCATATTTACCATGAAACTGTAATACACATAATATAATGTACAATTAAATAATACATAAAAAATTGCTTCAATATTAACTTTACTAACACACGACACAACCACTGCATTAATTATCTGCTCCGCAAAAATACAAGAAGGAGTTCCACTGTTATCCATAGCAATTTTATAAGAGATATTTAATAGAGCTCTTAATCCATCAGGACTGACGCTTCCATCTCCATCCATGTTAGAATACATTTTCACATAATTTTCCAATACAGTTTGATCATTCATTACAGAAAGGAACTTTTCAGCTTGTTGCTTAAAAGCATTAGCACTTAAATGTGAAGTATGAACATTGGCAGCATGGTGCAGATAGTTAAACAATTTGTCACCCAATTCAGGATAATTAGGAAAGAGATATTGTTGAAATATAGATTTCGTAATACCACTTATACGTTCCTCCTCGTAAGTCAGATGAGACAGTGTCTGCAAAATAGATATATATTTTAGTATATGTTATGAGTTAATACTATACATCACCAGCTGCCACTTAAAATTTCAAATAATGTCAATCATATTTTAATAATGCAATTAATGATTAATGATAAAAGTAGGTTATACGACTTGTATGATACTTATCAAAGTAAACTGTAAAGTCATCTAAGAACAATCACTGAATAATAATTTATAAACCATTCATAAAATATACATGACGATACATATTTTTAAAATACGAGGGATCTGCCAGCAACAATTATCATTTGCGCACTAAAATTACTGTGCCTGTACAGTTTATTAAACGCGTCCTCTTAAAGTGCAAATAATGAGTATCATATGATGGTAATTCTGGAACAAATTCGTACCTTAGCTAAACTTTCAATTGGAAAGAATTGCATATGCGAATTAGTTTCTAATTCGGTGGCTGAGGAACTTTTCGAAAGACTGTTTGCATTAGCCGTATCACCGGCATGTGCAGTGGAATCAGTCTTTTTTGCAGATGCATGTCCAGCACGTGTCAGTTGGTTACCCATTTCTATTAACTAAATGTCAAATTACAAATAAATTCACTATCTTATCTGGACATATCATTGCTCACAATAACAAAATATGCTTTCAACCATATGCAACTTGGAAAAGATTGTCATGGATGATACGCAAGTAAGTAGCGCATCCGCAACACGTTATATGAACACACGTACCAGACGATTTTACTTTCAAGTGTGTTCCACAAACATCCACACTGATCGTGTTCACAAATTGAGCTAAATGAACATCATAAACAAAATGCGAATATAAGTTGTACCATTCAATCTCTTTTAAAAAGTATAGTCTTATACACAATTCTTTTTTTAGATTTCTTTCATTGTTGGAAGTTAACAAAGAAAATCTGAAAAATTGCAGCTATGCTGATAATACAGTGCCATGATTTTACAATACAAGAAATTAAATGACGATTATAAATTGCTTGTTAAATATTATTCAATTACGGAACAATTGCAAGGATCAGCGATCTATAGATTAAAATCTAAATAATAGTCAACAGACAGAAAATTTGAAATATTGAATATTTCGCGGCTTAAGATCGCCATATTGCGCTTAGAAGCGCGCGCATCCATCATCCTCATTAGCGCGTGAGATTTGGGGGGTGGGGAGAGTTCTTTTCCAAAAGCGTGCATCGGCTGTCATCGGGAAAAAATTTGTCGGTGAGAACTCATTTGCACGCGTACTCTAGAAAAATATTCTCACAAATTGTTTTGTCGTATTCGCGAAACGCTCAATTGATTTCTGATATTAGTGCGTATGTAACTCGTTCAATTTGTTCGCACACAAGTGACCGAAGAAAAAGTGGGGAGGTGAGACGAAAGTAATCGTAAGAAAGTATCACAAGTAGACACGTTATAACTTATAATGAGACAGAAGAAGTAGCTTCGGGGGTAGGTATTTGCAGGAGCAGGGTGCGCACTTCCAAATAAGGTGCTCTTAAATGATCCAGTCGTTCGTGTGAATAGCGCTGCTGCGTGGTGGTTCGCCGAATCACAGTGCAACGTTATTACTCGCTGGCGGGAACGTTGAAATTTTTAACAAGGACTTTTTTACGAGTACTTTTGGTTTTTTAGTTGCACTTGAGCTTTCTTATCGATGCAGTATCGTTGCGGCGTCCAATCATGAATCATATTCGACCAGCGCGAATTATCTTTATATGCATGTGTCGTATACAAACACGTGGTAGATTAGATAGACTCGGTCTGAAAGATAGAGTGCGGTTTTAGTATAACGCATGACAGCATAACACTTGGTCATTTAACATGTAGAAATAAATAATAACTGGCAATAAAACGCATGACAATATTCAATGCGATATACATGTATCGATACTCGACGCGTGGCGATATAACATGACCAATACGTATATAGCGCTTCAAGAGATATAACGCGTGGCGATATAATGCATGGTAATCTGATTATTAATCATGTAACGTGTGGCAATATAACGAACGAAAATTCACGTTTTAATTTACGACTGTACTATATTTGTCAGTTAAACTATACAGTTAGCGGTAGGGGATAGCAGTCAGCGTCAATGTCTTGACGATAGCAGAACGATTAATCGGAACGTGGAAATTATTCCGTTACTTAGCTTTCTACGGTCTGTAATTCGTAGAATAATCAGTTCTGGTAAAATTACAAATTAATGAAGCGCGTTCATTCTTCCACCGAATTGGAGTGAAATAGAGGAAAAACATTCCGGAAGAATAATAAATGGTTCGGTTTCGTAACCGAAGGTATCTTTCGCTCTTTTCTGTATGAAAATCTTTGTTCTACAAATCCAATTTCTAATATGTTAATTTAATGAAAGATATTTCATTAAAATTCAACCGAACGCAATTGACCCGAATGCGTCTTACAGTAGCGTTGAAATTTCAACGCACTTTGGATCGGTTTTTGATCAGTATAGCATGAAAAATTTGTTGGTGATAAATCGTCCGAAAATATCGAAGTAGCGTTATTTGGGCTGCAATCCATGCCTTAGACGGTACCGAATGGGAGTGTAGTAATATAAATTCAGGAACGCTATGACGATCGGTGTGTGAATCATCGTCGCATAAAAGCGGCGGCTGGTTTATTTTGGGTGGATCGGATCTATTTTTCGATTCACCAACTATGGTCTACAAAACTTTTCGGAAATTTTCACAATAATCAGCACCCCTGCGATGCACGTGTAGACATTGGATGGATATTACAATTCGTAAAGTGTAAGATCAGGGTTCGAAAATATTCTTATTTAAGTCGCGCTCATTTTAACATCGAGGGTGGGGAACCTATTTATAAAACGGGGATGGTCCACGCGACGCCCACGCTGGCGGTGGACACGTAACTATAATTTATTGAAATAATCATAATAACCGGCATAGTAAAACATCGTCCACTGCTAGAGGTTAATCTTCGTTGTTTGAATTTTTTGTTTGCCACCGAAAGTAGGTGCAGATATGTCTTTCCGTGTAGTGCGTAGCAGTAAGTTCCGCCACGTGTACGGAACAGCATTGAAACGTGAACAATGTTACGACAATATAAGAGTGTCTAAGTCTTCGTGGGATTCGACGTTTTGTGCCGTCAATCCAAAGTTCCTTGCTATCATCGTAGAGTCCGCTGGCGGTGGTGCTTTCATAGTGTTACCGCACAACAAAGTAAGTCTCATCCTCGACCGCTTCTTCTTTTTGTCTTTTCCATTTAACCATAGCTGTATTTAGTTATTTTGAAGCATTAGGTTCAAACTATCATTATAGAAATAATGTTAAATAAATCCTGCATAAGTAGTTTTGATCATTAACTTAAATCATTGTAGGTAGGAAGAATACCAGCAGATTACCCTTTAGTCGGTGGACATAAAGGTCCCGTGTTAGACATTGCATGGTGTCCTCATAATGACAATGTCATAGCATCTGGTTCTGAAGATTGCGTAGTTAAAGTATGGCAAATACCGGATGGTGGTATTTCCAGGACATTAACGGATTCTGTAGTAGACTTGCAACTGCATCAGCGCAGAGTAGGTCTTGTGCTATGGCATCCGTCAGCACTAAATGTATTGCTCACGGCTGGGTCAGACAATCTTGTCTTGATCTGGAACGTTGGTACAGGAGAAGCAATAGTACGAATAGATTGTCATCCTGACATGATTTATTCCGCGTGTTGGAATTGGGATGGATCCAGATTAGTCACTACCTGTAAGGATAAAAAAATAAGAATTTTGGATCCAAGGACAGGAGAAATGTTGGAAGAAGCCATTGCACACGAAGGTAGTAAAGCTACACGTGCAATCTTTTTAAGGTATGTAAACTTTCTTTCCATTGGTATATATAAATGCATAAGCAGTCTTACCCTATTAGGGCTAACAAAAACCAATATTGTACAGAAATTAGTTTAAAATATTTTTAAGAATATCTATTTCTATTATGCAAAACACTGTCAACATATTTTTCATGTCAAATAATCATCAAACAATATACATCCGCCTTTTTACACGATAAATGTATTCAGGATAAAATAGTACAAATATATATTTATTTCAAAACTATGTTTCTAGCAGGTTATAACATTGTTTTAATGACATGTGACTATTACTTCTTAAAAGAAGTATTTATACAAGTTTTATAATAGATACACTTCTATTTGCACATTAAGAATATCTTTATTTTTTATTATCACATGGTCTTTCCAATTTGTGTAGTGCGAGATTTGGTAATTTTTAATGGATTACTTGAAGATTGAAAGTTCAACGTCAAGAGGATGTCAGCTTAATAAATGCAAATATCAAGATGTCCACTGTGTAATATCTGCATAAAAGTTTCAGTAAGTATTGTATATCAAGTTATTATCTTAAAATATAACATTTTATACACGTTGACAAATGAATATGTGTACGAATTCAGAATACAGTGAAATAACTACACTAATACAAAACATATTGTAACAAGAAAGTGTGATTTTTGTATTCGGTACAAAATTATTAATTTTGAACAACACCAATATCTGTTTCGAAAAGCAGACAAACGATTCAGGTATAGATTTGCAAAACCCAGTTACTGGCCAGTGCACTGACACAAGTATAATTCACAATAATCTGGCATTGTAAACATTCCTTAATCATGATTATATTCAGTTTATGTTATTTCACGAATGCGTCTAATATAGACTCAGAAATTTGTACATAGGTACAATTTTCAGATGTTGTAACAAGGTGGATGTTATTTAGTTTTGATGATTAACTGAAATAAGAATATTCAAAAAGCAACATAATACAGAACATTACATTATGTAAACGTATATCGTTTATAAACATAAGTTATACTATATATTTTTATAGGAGCTTGTATTTGTATGTATAATTGTATGTATTAAAAATATTCAACTAAAGCTTTGTATCCACAGAGTTGTGTGTTTACTATGTTTTCAGGGGAGGCTTGATCTTTACCACAGGTTTCAGTAAAATGTCCGAGAGGCAGTACTCGTTACGTGCACCTGATATGTTAGGTGAACCTATAGTTATGGTAGAATTGGATACCAGTAACGGAGTCATGTTTCCTCTCTATGATTCCGATACAAATCTAGTGTACTTGTGTGGCAAGGGTGATTCCGTAATTCGGTACTTTGAAATTACCCCTGAACCTCCTTTTGTTCATTACATCAATACATTTCAAACCCCTGATCCTCAACGAGGTATAGGAATGATGCCAAAACGAGGCTGTGATGTTAATAGCTGTGAAATAACTAGATTTTATCGGCTCAACAACTCAGGTTTTTGCCAGGTTATCTCCATGACTGTACCAAGGAAGGTACTGAAATGATTTTTTCCGCAAATTTAGGACCAATATGAAACGTTTGTAATATTCTAATATTATTTATTAATTTTCAGTCTGAATTGTTTCAAGAAGATTTGTATCCAGATACTCCAGGTGATACCGCTGCAATTTCTGCCGAAGAATGGGAAAAAGGAACCGATGCAGATCCAGTACTGATATCTTTACGCGACGGTTATCAGCCCTCGGCTACTAAAAATGAACTGAAAGTTCATAAAAAGTCGAACATTCTAAGTAAAGGGGCGAAAGTTGCTTCTAATTCTTCGCAAAATGCTACGCAAGCTTCAGCTGGCATTACAGTATGTTATTTGGAAATTTTATTATCTTTATTTATTTAAGCATAACTGTATGCGATATAATCGTACTCTTGCAGGAGGAACTATTAAAAGAATTTACGGAAGAAATAAGAAAGTTGAAAGCGGTAATCGTAAAACACGAGGGAAGGATACGGGTGCTCGAATCAGCTGTTGCTCTTCACATGAAGGAAGAAGAGAGGAAAGAAAAATCATCTTCACCTACTGATAGAGAGGTGCTTGCATCCGATGAGGTGTAATTTTTGACTCATATTTTTAGCTCATAAAAATAATGTGAAGAAACTAATTATGTAATAAAAAATGATCATATATTTTGATATAACAATTTGTGTAAATAGTAGGTTTTAGCTATGTTGTGTGTCTTGATTCTCTTTTTTTGCAATTATCTTTGCTATTTATTGTACATCCATTCATCATACATCCTGTGCATTTGTACTATGTTTACATCTTTTATTTTGTTAAATCATGATATATGACACTTGTTACTAGCATTAAGATTTCGAATCTTATATCGTCTAATACACAAGACTTTTTATGTATATGCATCTTCATAATTGTTCATGACAAACGAGTGCCTAGTTTGTACAGATACTTCATTGTAAAATAACGAAAAATTATTTTATTCCTGGTACGAATAATGCATAATTTATATGCGTAAATTATGCTACGTGAAATAATTGAACAAACAACCGCTATTTTACAGTTAATGTGCAAATAACAAGTAAGATACCAAGTATTTTTAACTAATCTGTTTTTTGACATTATAAGAAAAACCCATTTGTTTTGTACAAAAAATGTGAATATAAAATAATATAATTGATCGAATTAAATTATTGAATACCAGTGTGCATCCCAGATTCCCATTAAAAAATTTGATTCTTTTATAGAGCTATCAAATTCAGCTTCAAATTTATATTTACGCGTGGTTTTCGAAAACAAGTCTATATTTGTTGTCATCTAGCGATCGGAAGTTGAATTACCGAAATAAAAAGTTGCTGCTTTTTTCTTTTTTTCTCGTCAAATTTTGCATGCACATGCGTATGTACATCCAGATGGACATAGAAAAAAAATTTAAATCGGACTTGCCAAAAACTGATCCTAAAATGTGAGGGTCTGAACACACATATAAGGAAAATAAAAAAATGAATATTTCGGCACTTTGACGACGCAGTATGGTTCTTGAGGCATTTAGAAACAAATTTCTATTAGGGTTTGATGCGTTTTGATGCCTAGTAAAGCCAGAAAATCAATTTTTGTCGAATTCGGGTCAAAACGGTACAGGTGGCGCCATCTAGCGGCGAACGGCGGAACTACGAAAAAATTAAATTTCGATTTTCTCGAAAACTAGGAACTTTTCCGAAATTCTGAGATATACAAATTGTTCCTTGTCGCCTACGGAATCGAACGAATGTAATTATAGCCCGCTAGGACAATTATTACGGAAAATAGAAAAATA